CCAGGACGAAGAGCAAGGCGAAGCGTCTCTCCAAGCGCATGTCCATGCCCGTACTACACGAACATCTTCAGTCTGGATCCAAGATCAAGGAACTCCCTGGCCACCTCGACGCCATCACAGCCATGGACTTTGATGCGCCGTGGGGCATGATGGTCACAGCAGCACTGGACGACACCGTCCGTGTGTGGGATCTAAGTGCTGGCCGATGCATAGGTATGCTCGAGGGCCATCTATCTTCGGTGCGATGCTTGCAGGTTGAGGAAAATATTGTGGCAACGGGCTCAATGGACGCTTCGATACGGCTGTGGGATCTGAGCAAAGCGGAATACGCACCCCACGATAACAGGATCAACAAGCAAGAAGAAGAAAGCGATGATGGCCTCGCATTTGAGAACTCGGAAGATGCGCCCCCTGCGCCCCCCTCGACTAGCATGCGAGACTGTCCAATGTTCTCTCTCGAATCACACGTAGATGAAGTTACGGCGCTGCACTTCCGCGGCGACACTTTGGTTTCTGGCTCCGCTGACAAGACCCTGCGGCAATGGGATCTGGTCAAGGGCCGATGTGTGCAGACACTCGACGTACTCTGGGCAGCCGCCCAAGCAACAGCTTCCAACAACACAAACACGACATGGCGACAGACTGGACGCTCTTCCGACACCTCTGCCGACTTTGTAGGCGCTATCCAGGTTTTCGATGCCGCACTTGCGTGTGGTACTGCAGACGGTATGGTACGACTATGGGATCTACGAAGTGGACAAGTACACAGAAGTCTTGTTGGCCACACAGGTCCTGTCACTGCCCTGCAATTCGATGACGTCCACCTTGTCACCGGTAGCGCCGACCGGAGCATTCGCGTAAGTTCTTCTACCCACATACACGTGCCTTGCTAACGTCACCCAGATCTGGGATCTCCGAACCGGTGCCATCGCAGACGCCTACGCTTACGACCATCCCGTCACCAGCATGATGTTCGATACACGCCGCATTGTCTCTGCTGCCGGCGTAGACGTTGTCAAGGTTTACGACAAGATGGACGGACGTCACTGGGACTGTGGTCCTGGAGCTGACAAGGAAGACACGTCGACGCATTCTATCATCGAGCATGTTAGGATAAAAGATGGATATCTCGTCGAGGGACGCAGGAATGGAACAGTTGGTGTGTGGTCGTGTTAGGGAGCCGTTGGTAACAGATGAGTGGGTGTTGTATATACGAAATGGTGGGGCACACATTCATAGCCAGTCATGGAAATGGCAAAGTTCGTTGTACTACTATCTATTATATCATTGCACTTTGAGCGAGAATGTCGGCTTTCAAAATTTACTGTGACAATTGGCGTTGGCTGGTACGATTACTGGATGATTAATGGCTAGAAATATGATTAGAAGCCATCTGTAAGCCATCTGCATCGTCGACTGCCCGGGCATACGGTAAAGTACGTAGCGGTGGTGTTTTCCAAACTAGCTCAAGCTTCTGATAGGGGCCAGTGCGAAGCTTGGTTTGGCGATCGCGAGGTGACGTAACGCTGAGCATACCATCAACTCTTGCCGCGTCTTCCTACCCACACAAAACTGTGGCATGCATGGTATAAAGTAGTGTGTACTTTTTCGCTTCTTGTTTCTATGATACCAACACATTGATTTTGCAATTGGCGGTCAATTGCTGTAGTAGAGGGTCCGAGCACGCCATCCTTTCCTTTCCACAGGTTCCGAGACCGACGATACCAACGAGAATACGCCCCAATACCCTCTTCTAGTGCGTTCCAGACAGCCTCAGCTACTTCACTGTAGCTCCAATTCGCCACAATGCTGCCACGACAGGCTGCGTCGTTATCGCGCGGATACAATGTCACACAAAGAGCTTCTATACTCTGCAGAAGATTGCCTTCGACAGCAACCTCACAGTTCAGGACTTCCTTCAGCAGTAGATCCTCAGCTTCCGCGCTGAGCCACGCTACTATACGATGTTCACAATTGAGCAAGCAGTCCCCTACCTCTACCGCGATACGAGCCGCCTCAACGAAGCCAATTCCCCAACCGCGATCGCGACTTGTGCGCGCTGCGTACAGGACCGCTGCCATACTCGGATCCTTTGTTGCAGTGAGCGGTGTCCTTGTTGTGGCATTTTTCATCTATGACGCCTACACATACAACGACGACCCAATTGCGACCGACATACCCGTATCAGAGCTCGCCCTAAGCCCGCGGAGAGGCGGACCGAAGAATCTGCCCATCGCGGAGCACTTTGTTGACGATGATGAAACCCCAGAGAATAAGAAACTCAAACATAAGCCGAAGTTGGTCATATTGGGCACAGGTTGGGGAAGCGTGGCGCTCTTGAAGCAACTAAATGAGGATGACTACCACGTTACTGTAATATCGCCGTCGAACACGTTCCTCTTCACACCCATGCTGCCTTCTGCTACAGTGGGAACTCTGGAGCTACGATCGCTTGCCGAGCCTGTCCACAGAATCCACAGAAACATACTCTGTTCATTCCCTCAGAGCCGAAGCTGAGGATGTGAGTTATCAAAGATACTGATTGACCGCCTCCGCCCGAAGATGCACAAGGAAAGGAGCAACGATTCTACGTACCGGTACGA